AAGTATTTTTTTTTCTTTTGTTTGTTTCTTTCTTTCCTTCTTTCTCTTTGGTACTGGGGATTTAACACAGGGGTGCTTTACCATTGAGCCATATTTACAACTCTTTTTATTTTTTATTTTGAGACAGTGTCTCACTGCATTGCTTAGGGTCTCACTACATTACGAGGCTGGCTTCAAACCTATGATCCTCCTGCCTCAGCCTTCCAAATTGATAGAATTATAGGCATGTGCCACGTGCATAGGTAGCAATAAGAAATTTTAAACATCATCTTTTTATTAAGATGCAGTAGTAGTGTCTAAGAATATTGAGGTGGTCTGATCTCTTATTTCATGCCAGAGGAGAACTGATGTCTAGATCATGGTTACAAGGCCACTAAGTTACTTACTGCTCAAAGCCTTGGTTTTCTCACATGCAAAAATAGTCCTTAAATCACTCAGTGACTATGAAGATTAAAGGAGATGATTGTGTAAGTGCTCAATAATTTTTCATTATTATCAATATTATTATTATTATTGAGTACCCAGGATTGAACTCTGAGATGCTTAACCACTGAGCCACATCCCCAGCCCTTTTTATGTTTTATTTAGAGACAGGGTTTCACTGAGTTGCTTAGGGCTTTGCTAAGTTGCTGAGGCTGACTTTAGTACTTGCTATCCTCCTGCTTCAGTCTCCCTAGTGGCTGGGATTATAGGCATGAGCCACCGTGCCTGGCTTATTATTCTTGAAAGTATTTTTAATGAGCAACAATAAAGCTGAGATGCAAACCGCAAGTTTGGCACTGGACCTTTGAAAGCATACTGGTTCCTGGCGATCTCAGGGCTCTTACTTTTTGGGGGATCCACGTTAGCTGTGAAATGGCTCTGAATGCCCCCTGGGAAACATGGAAGGCAATGAATGTTTAAGGAAAATATTCTAATCTGTGCAGTGAGGCCTTCGCTCCCGAAGCCATCAGGTTTCCCAAATTCATTTCTTTAGCTCTCCAGAATCCTCAAGCCTCCCGATTAGAAACTGGGGAGACAATTCACATTTTCCAGGATGTGTGGAAGGCGAGGGAATACTAAATGGCTTGGTAATAAAGGGACAAATACTCCTGTAATAAGAGCACTAGAAGCCTCAACCTACCACTTTCCTTCCTTGACCCCTCCGTTCATTTTCTTCCCAGGTATCTCCACACTTCCTAGGTCTCCCCTGGCACAGCACAAAATGAGGCTCAGCCTGTGCACAGCATGGTTCCACCCTCCTGAAGCTCTTTCTGTGCCACCCTCAAATATCAATGTCCCTTGGGATTGTTTTTTTTTTTTTTTTCTGAGCCATATCTCCAGCCCTTTTTATCTTGAGACAGGATATTACTAAGTTGCTTAGGGTCTTGCTAAATTGCTGAGGCTAGCTTTGAACTTGCGATTCTCCTGCCTCAGTCTCCTAAGTTGCTGGGATTACAGGCATGCACCCCTGTGCCCTGTGTGTGTGTGTGTGTGTGTGTGTGTGTGTGGTGTTGGGGATTGAACCCAGGGCCTTGTGCATGAAAGGCTAGCACTCTACCAACTGAGCTATATCCCCAGCCCCCACCATCTGAAACTCTTATCTTTTCATCCTAGGTGTCAGATGTGCTGATGAACTTCAGTTCCTTAGTTGACCAATTCTGTTCTGAGATCTTGCCCCTTCCCCTTGTCTCCTACCCAATTCTGAATCACCTCTTTTTCCTCCAGGGGGGGAAAAAAGCGTTCATCCTTTGTCCACCCACTGTCCCCTATGTCCCTTCTCTTGTGCCCCTGAAAGACTTTGGAGCCAAACTAGTGGTTTATCCATTAGGTTGTAAACTCCTTGATGTTCAGATCTAAGTTATATTCTTCTTTATATTCTTAGCACCTGTGGAACTTAACCAGCACAGAGTAGGACCTTAGTAAATATCTTCTGAATGAATGGAAGGATGGAGGGATAGAGGGATGGAGGGACGGATGGATGGATGGAAAGACAGAGAGACAGCTAGCTGGCTGAATGGATAGACAGATGGGTAAATAAACAGGTGGAAGGACATATGGATGGATGGACATGCAAGAAATCTCTGGCCCAGTCTGGACCTCTGAGCTCTTTAGGCTGATGTGCAGAGATAAATCAGCCACATGTCCCCATTTTCCTTCACCCTTACACTCAGGTCCCTTTCACTTGTGTTCAGCGGGAAAAAGGAAGACTTTGCAGCAGGAAGGGAGAGAGAAGATGTGACATCAGGATGGTGATGGGGGAGGAAGTAGCGTAGAGGACTCCAGGGAGGGGAAGGGCCTGCCTACCTGACATGCCTGACTTCAGGTGGATTAGATAGTAGAGCTCACAGAGAGGAGCAGAAGGTACTGTAAAGTTTAGACATTTTTAAGAGTCCTGAGTAGCAACCAAGCCCTTGTAATGTGCCATATTCCATCTTAGAACCCCCTATAGAAATGAGCTCTGACTGCACTGTCTCTGCAGATGTGGGTACTGCTGGCTGGGTAGAGCCACTCTGGGCACAGTTATGTAACTGAGGTCAGCCAGAGTGACTTTCCCTGCTCTGCCGCAGTCCGGCTGCAGCAAAATAACCGGGGGGTGACGAACAACTTGTGTACATTGATACAGCAGGAGTGGGAACCATTTATTGTAGGACAGGAGCAGTATATATACATTCCACACAGCTTATCTAATTAACATAAACTCAATACAGCAGTCAACCAATAAGGAATCTCCACACTTAATGGCTCGCTGGCGTTACTTCACAAACCATTCCCTCTGGCAAAATGCCAGGCGCCATCCAGACTTGTTTACAGACTCTAACATTTGCCAGGTGCCATCCTGACTTGTTTACAGACTCTAACACTGCTCTGAGAAAATTTAGGCATCATAGTGTCCCAAGTATTGATGATGTTTATTGGCCTGTGATTTCAACATCAGGCTTATGCCTGTTTGCCTGGTGGATAACCCCAGCATCATCTTCATCTCAACTAGATCCCAAAAGTGGTTTCTTTTTTTTTTTTTTTGGTACTAGGGATTGAACCTAGGGGCACTCAAACACTGAGCCACATCCCCAGCCCCTTTTTTGTATTTTGTTTAGAGACAGGATCTCACTGAGTTGCTTAGGGCCTTGCTAAGTTGCTGGGGCTGGCTTTGAACTCCTGTCTCAGCATCCCGAGCCACTGGGATTATAGGCATGTGCCACCATGCCTGGCCCCAGAGTGTTTTTAATCACAAATGGGCTAAGACCAAGCTCACATGCTTGGCAGCATACAGGGAGGCCAGTGGTGTGAGGTACTGGGAAACCAGCAGAGAGGGCAGAACCTGCTTGGCTTCCTTTATCTCCAATGCTTCCTCGCTAGCACCTAAGACACATGCGCTCACTAAGTCAAAAGCAGGGTGACCACACTTACATACATACTGGATTGTCTCAGACAGCCATGCTACCTTAGTGAAGTTGGGAATACTGTCACCATATTAGTCACTATCAAAACCACTCTAGTTTGGATGACACATTGTTCGGCCACTTTATTTACATGGTGCTTTAAGATCCTCTGGGAGAAATCTAAGTGTGACCGCCTTTCCCACTTTCCTTTTCCTCAACCATCTCTAAGAGCATTCCACAGAACAGGTTGACATATCCCCAGTGAAATCTATCAACTGATCCACAACTCCAGAGGAGAAAAGTCCAGACCAAAGAAGGAAATACAGGCATTTACTCATTTTGTAAAGTCTTGGGCAGAACACCAAGGCTCATCTCTACAGGGTACTGAATACTGAAAGGACAGGGGAAACCCTCCAGGGATCCTCATAATTGTGCAGGAACCCCATGGTCTCTAACACTGATCACAATTCTGCAGTTTAATGTACCTCTTTATCTGTTACTTGCTCAGGGCAAGAAAGACCAGGAATTCTCCAGGTTTCTTCTTCTACAATTTGGTGGAGTCAGATGAGGATGGCAGTGTTTCTGCAAGACATACTGACTGGGTTCTTATCTCAGTCTTGGAGGGTCTTCATTACATATGATGGGCCTTGATAGAGGAAAGATGTTTCTTATGGGAGCAGACAAGAAAAACCGAGATAAAGATTTCATTTTCTGGATCACAACATTCTTAACTATATTCTTGAAAGAAAGTAAATTCAGCAACCCAAGGTTATAAATGAAGCCTGAGGGCTTGCCCAGGGTAGAAGATATAGGATCTGCAGGACCTGGGGTATTTTGGGGGTCAGAAAAGTTCCAATGCACCTGTAAAGTTGCCACTGGGCCAGATAAAACCCTGCCTGACAACCTGACATGAAAAACCCCCGAAACAGTTCTGAAAAGTGAGATTTTTCTTCAGGCCTCTAACTTTCAGGATGACACACACAGGCCCAGGCCACCAAGAGCTTCCTCTGGGGCAGTTCCCATGCCACCCCCACCCCTCCCCTTACCCAGTTCCCTGACTTTCCAACTGCTTTTTTTTTAATTTTTAAAATTTATAGATGTTTATTTATTTTTATGTGGTGCTGAGGCAAGCGCTCTGCCACTGAATCACCGCCCCAGGCCTCCAATTGCTTTTGGAGGTGGCAGGGCAATCTCCTTTGAGAAGGTAGGGTAAGTTGAGGGGACAAGAGCGGTGTTCCTGAAGGTTGACTGGTCCTACACGATCTCATTTAATCCCCCCAACATCCCTAGGGCTTATACCCCGTGCACAGATGAACCTGAGGCCACGGCTCAGCTAATGAGTTGAAGGGTAAGGACCAGATGTGCCCTGTAAGGGGTCCGTCTTACTCTGGAGCCCAACGTATGTCCCTTACAGTCTGCCACCGGGACACGCAAATTTGAGCACCCCCACTCTTCCCCAGGCCCCCAGTTTATCTCGGGTCTGATCTCTCTGGTTACATCTCCGCCTTCCTTCCTGTGTTGCTGATAGGGAAACCCTGAGAAGTCCCTCCCACGTACAAGACTTTTCTCCCGCGACGGCGGCGGCCACTGGGCGCCCAGTGGGACCGCAGCGCGGGCGGCAGGCGCGCCCGGAGTCGGCGTCTCTGCCCCCGCTCCCGCCAGCCGGCGGGGCTGCTGGTGTCTTGGGGGGGCAGAGCCGCGGGGCTTCGCTCCGTGACATCAGCCCTGCTGTGGTGCTGTGTGCAAAGCCTACTGGTTGGCGTGGCGAGGGACACGCCTTCCCCGAGCGGAACAAAACGGCGCGCAGACTGGGCGCACCCAGCCGTCGCTTCCTACAGTGCCTGCCGCCCGCGCCCGCCGCCGACCGCTGCCAGGTGAGTGCGCCCAGCCACCCTCCCGATCGTCGCCCGCCTCTGTCCCCTGCAGCCACCCCCCCGCAGGGGCTCCTGGGACGCACCCTGCGCCTCCTGATCTTTCCTGCCCCGCGGCGGCCCTGGCGGCTGCAAGGAAACTTTGGAGGAAAAGTACGCAAGCCCGGACCTTTGCGGGCGAGTTGTGAGAAGTGACCGCAGTTAGCTAGGGCTGTTTTTCTTTTTTCCTGGAGACACTGGGGCTCCACTCAATCCGGGGCTTCCTGGACACAGTTGGCTTTCCCATGCCCCTGACCTAGGGCGACCCGGCTCCCCCCGCCGCCTGCAGGTCGGGCAGAACAATTGGCAATTCTGCGGGTCACTGACGCTCATTGTATAGCATAGAGATGAGGGCATCCGTGCCACCCCCTCCCACCGCCTCCTCCTCTGGGACAAAGTGCCCGCGGGTGGGATGGGGAAGACATCTGGCTTCATGGGCCTGGTCTTGGGCATCTGTGCCCCTGTACGCAGGTGTTTTCCTTTTTCTGAAACAGCACCCCCCACCCCTCACCGCCCCAAGTCATAGTTAGTGCTCTGCAGAAGAGAGTACTGAAGCCTGAAAGCCTACCCTGAGTGTTTTGAGGTCTCAGCCCTTGAAAACTCGTTTGTGAGAAAGGGGCTGATACTGAGCACACTTAAACAAGTTGCAATATGTTACCCAAGACGCAAACCACAGAGGCAGGTATCTTTATCTAGAAGCACAGGCCTGAGCATATTCTGCAAGTTTCTGGTCCTTGTGTTCTTGTAAGGCAGTCCAGTCTGTGTCTAGCTGGGAGCAACAGTGAGGCCCTGGGCTCCTGCCACTCACCCGCTTCTCCTGGGGGAGAATGAATAGGCAGGCCTTCCCCAGAGTGAGAGGTCACTGCCTTGGGATATTGTCACAGTGGCGTGGAGGAAGTCCATCTGGCTCTGGTAGAAAGTTTACCATGAAGAAGTAGCCAGGAATCTTGATCAGCAATTGAAAGGCAGACAGACTGAGTTTTGACTCCTGGATCTGCCACTTACTACAAAAGTGACTTTGGACAAGGGACAACGTCTTGATGCCTCAGTTTCTTTCAGGACCTCCAACAGAGCAGCGCTTAGGTGCTGCCCTCTCCCCACCCACACCCCCTTCCTCTCAAAAACAAAGTTGGCTGGAACTGTGAGCTGCCTCTCTGTCATCTCAGAGTCAGATTGGGGATTCGACCCAGGCGGATTTGGAGACTGGGTGCTGAGCTTCTGGACTCTTGCTAGCTGCTGCCTTCTGATTCTGTAGCCAGTCTCCAGCTCAGGAAGCCAGGGCCATGCCTTCTGAGAGACGACCGGAGTCTGCAGCTGTTCTTACCCTGTATTACATTACTGCCAACCCAGACTTGCTGCTCAATCTCCCAGTGAAGGACCCTTTGCCTTGCTGTGGATATCCGGGGCGGGAACAATCAGAGGGGAGGAAGTTTATCCTGCAGAGGGTGTGGTGTGGCCCAGAGAAGGGGGAGGGGAGAACTGAACCAAGGTCTCCCATGCCTGGTGTTGGGGGTCAGGGAGGATGTAGGCTCAGCAGCTCAGCCACTGACCTGCTAACAAAGTGCAAAAGACAGGGGTGCCCCAGCCCCTTTGCCTCTGCTCTCTCCTAGCACCTGCCTTTGGGCCCAGGTGTTTTCTAATTGCACATCTGCCTCTGGAGCCAGCCAGTCCTCCCAGGGCCTGGATGGTGGGATGGTGGTGGGGGTTATGTTGACACTTGGTATGTGATCAGTAAACATGAATGGGGGTAGGAATGGGCTTTCAGGGGAGTTGTCCTATTAGAATTCATAAACCTTGAATATAGTTACCAACCAGTTTTTCCCTGCAGGTAGTGTTGACAAGCAGGTGTGGGGAAAGAAGCACTCTGGATCTCCTGGAGAGGAAAGCAAATTAGGCAGGCTTTCTGGTGGACTACTAAAGTTTTAAGTATTGATGTAAACCCAGCTCGGCTCACTGTGAGAAGCTGGCCTGCTAGAGGCCTGGGAAGAGGCACGTATTGAACATTTTGAGATCCAAAGAGGTACAAGTAAGAAAAAGACTTTTTCTCCAAGCAAACCAGCTGTTTGCCATTATGCAGGCATATGGCAAATACCTAGAGGCTCAAAGCAATGAGTGTTAGAATTTGCCTTTTCTTAAGATAATAGTAAGCAGATCTCTATACTTGCTGTGTGCCAGGCCTGTGTTAAGTATTGTATTAAGTATTATCTTGGACAACTTATCAGGTAGGTGCTGACGCTTGCCATTTTACAAATGGAGAAACTGAGGCTGAGAGATGAGAAGGAACTTATTCAGAATTGTAGCTGGTCCCCTGAGGAGTTGTCATCAGGCCGACACTTCTCTTTCCAGATTAACTCACCAGGGAAATAGCTGCCATTTGTGAAACACATTAACTTTACAAGACACTTAAGACTTACAAACAATATAAAGGCAGATAGGACTTTTGCCGCTTTTAACGTGGATGAGGTCAGGATCAGAGCTCCTGACCTCTAGATTTTCACTCCGCTGCATGGCTAGGGTGGGGGTAGGGGGAGCCCTGCACTTGAGTTGCCAGATATGCTTTCACCAGCTCTGATGCATGTTTGTGTTTTGGGACCAGGACTGCAGGAAATAAAAGAAGCCTGGCTAAGAGCCAGCTGGAGGGAGGGAGGGAGGGAGGGGGTGAGGGAGAGAGAACCCTGCAAGCAGGCTGCCCCAGGGAAGGGGAGGGGAGGGGTCCTGAGTTCTGACAGGAGTTTTGCCTGCAGTTGCCACTTGTCAGGAATTTATATGGTAATGACGTGGCTTGGACTACGTAGGTCCCCAGGAATTTGTCTGACGCCAGCATTAATTCCCATGTATGGTAAAGTGTGTAAATACGGAGGCAGCTAGTGTTTCCAGACTCTGGTATTTCCAGTGCTTCCCAGAGGCCAGAGGCAGCGTCTGGCTCCAGTGTTGACAAGGGAGGAAGAAATGGAAGGTCTGCAGCTGGAGGAACCAAGTCAACCGGGGGTGTGTGTGTGTGGGGGGGGATACTCTTCATACAGGGGCGTTCATAGTGGGATGGAGCTGCCTGAAACGTCAGCTGTGAGCAACCTGTGTTTATGAGGCCTAAGTGCTCATTTGTTTTTCCTTTTCAAAAATGAGTACAAGCCAAATCATTCAGACCTTTTTGTTCAGCGCTTGGGATAACCAACTGTTACCACTCTATGTTGACATCATTCCAGACAAAGTCAAGACGCTCCATCTGTTAATGAGTCTGCGAAGCCTTATCATGTTATAGGATTTCCTGGACTGGTTTTGAAATACTTAAAAGAAGCCAGAGACTCCTATTTTACCTCAATATGACCTTCAGATTTCTGAACTCCCCAAGTGGAGAACTCTGCTATAAAAGGGCCTTAGGGGACACGTGGGGAAGGGGAGACACATAGCATTACCCTGTGGCAGCTCATAGTCCCCCAAGGCCCATGGGGCATGGATTTGAAAAGAGAGAACTCAGGCCCTGGAAGGAGGGAGAGTGCTGAGTGGTTCCAGTCGTGTTCTGGGGTGCCTGGGCTTGGAGCTGTGAGCTTGGAGAGGTGAATCATGTACATGCTCCAAAGAAATCATGTAGGGGACATATAATCATGGCCAAGCCAGTCCCCTTCTCCTGCTGGCCATCTCTCCCCAACCAGTGACCCTTACCTTCAGTGAGGTCTATTTCCTAAGTTCACAGGTGTCACTTCTAATATACAGGCTCTATGAACTCTGAACCAGTGGGTCCCCTCCTTCCCTTTCTGTCCTTGGCTGTTCTCTGGATGTGGGGGCATGCAGGAAGAGGCTGAGCTGCGAGGTTGGAAAGGATGACAGCATTCCTCTGTACCTGGCAGATACCAAACAGATCACCTAATGTGAGCAGCACTTTTCTAACTAGATAAACACTTGACAGGTCTCTACTGGACCAGAAGGGTGGGGACTTAAGCCCTGGGCCTGTCAGTCCCTCTTTGGCCCTAAGGAACAAGTGATTATGAAATGGGAGAGAAGGGATTTTTCCATAGGAGAATTAAAGATGTGGGATGGTTTGTCAAGGGTTTGATGTGAGGGAACCTCCTTCAGGCATTGGTGGCTGGCAGTCAAGGATTCTACCTCCCTGAGATGATTTCTTAAACTTGAAACATGACGCACTGAACATAAGACCTTTGCTGACTTTCATGAGATTAGAGTAAGCACCAGAGTCTGCGCCCTGGTCTACCCGCTGCTCTGCTGCTGTATGAGATGCCATCTTGGATTTCTCCTCGCAGGATCGAGGATCTGGGTACAGCTCTTACTGGAACAACTAGACAGGGCAGCAGGCTGGAGCTGGTGGCTTACAAGAAGAGGTCAATTCTTGAGTTCTGTTCTTCAGCCAGCCCTGAGGATCCTGACATTTCAGGTGAACAGCTGACTGGCTATTTCCAGTTATTCAGCAGCAAATTAAAGTTCTGTTCTCTGTAGAGATTATCAACACAGTGAAGTAGTATAAACCAGAACACAGACAGCAATTCCCAGTGAGGATATAACTCTCTGAAGGGAAAACACTGGGTAGTGTGGTCACAGAAGATAGAACTGATTCTTGATGACCCATGGCTATATACAAGAGGTCCCTGCTGTGGTCTCAGGTTGCCCAAGGAATTGAACCCCACAGGAGGGCAATAGCTTGTTGCAGACTCAATAGCTGGGCTGACAGACAAGTCAAACTCCTGGTCCCTATTTGATATGTTGCTTTCCAAGCTTTTTACCTTCAAGATGGGGGCTAGCTGGGAAGGAAGGTATTCATCTGGACCCACACCTGGCGGGATGGTGTTAAGGCTTGCTTGGGCCAATCCTGTTAGTGGGAATCAAAGGTGTGAGCTCTTATGGGGTGCCAGGAGCTGTACATTTACCTTTATACTTTCTCATTTAATTCTCAGAATAGGATTTGGGGTAGTCCGTCCCCCCACAGCACCCCCACCCCTCTTTGGTACCAGGAATTGAAACCAGGGGTGCTTAACCACTGAGCCACATCTCCAGCCCTTTTAAAAATATTTTATTTAGAGACAGGGTCTCACCGAGTTGCTTAGCATCGCATTTTGCTGAGACTGGCTTTGAACTTGTGATCCTCCTGCCTCAGCCTCCCTAGCCGCTGGGATTACAGGAGTGCGTCACCATGTCTGGCTTTCAGTGTTTCATTTTAGAGACAAGCAAATTAAGCCCAGAGCAGAAAGTAACTTGACCCCAGATCACTGAGCTAGGAAGGGTTGCATCTGATCTTTTTAACCCCAGCTCCCATTTTTCTAACCATGGAACTCTGACCTAGAGAATTTTCTTTACGATGCCCTGATGCCCTCCCACGGGTCTGCTGTCCCCCAGAAGAGGGAAGGCGATTGAAAAGGAGCCAAGTGGCCCTCGGTCGGGCACTCCACACTCCAGGAACTGAGAAACAGCTTTCCTTTTAAGGCAACTCAGCCTCCCCTCAGGCAGAATTTGGCTATTGGAAAGAGGGGGCTGGGCAGAAGGAGCAGCTCCAGCCCTCGCTGCAGAGCAGATAACCCGGGCTCCTCCAGCCGGGACTCTTCCCCAGGTGCAGGGTCTCCTGGACGGTCCTCATCTGATCCCAGGGGCAGGGAGCCCATTCACAAGGGCCGTGAAACCCCTCCTGGCTAGGGACCCCATCACTGCTTTTCTTCTCAAGTTCTAGAGCCATGTCCCATCTCTGGGCTCCTAAGGGAAGACTACTCCCCCGGCCCAGCGCCACCAACCAAATGCCAGGCTCAAAGAAAAGGCCTGGCCAAGAGGCATCCTGGGCAGATTTTCCTCCCTGACAGGTCCTTGGGCTTCACCCATTTCTCCGCCCATGTTCCTGATTCCCTGGGGCCCTGCTGGATGTGGGCCCCTGACATGGGGCCAGGGAGAACAAGGGGAGGCCTGTATGGAACTGTGGGTCTCCCCCAGGAGGAGAAGGGCTTTTGTGTCTAGAACAAAACACTGCTTGGAACTGACTCCCCATCTCGTGGTTAGGGGAACTTTCCTCCCTTAGGGGTGTTCCTAGGGGTATGAGTGTGTCCCCTGCTGGTTCAGGGGGTTGGAAAGGGAGAAGAGGGACAGGGAGAGAGCCAGCATTGAAGAACTGCATGTCCACCACGTGCAGCCAGTCTCAGATACGCTAGGCCTGCAGCATGGTGACTGGGGTCACAGAGGACACAGAAATGCATTCAAACCTCCAGTTCTCTCTCTTCCAGCTGTGTGACTACAAGCAAGTTGCCTAACCTCTCTGAGCTTTGTTTTTCTTGTCTGTAAAGTGGGCCTATATTCTCCATCTTCAGGCAATGAGGGGGAAATGGGATGATGCAAATAAATTATCTGGTACATGGCAGGTGATCAGCAGCAGCCTGGTGGCCTTGGCTGGGTCACATTGAGGCACCTCATCAGGCTTAAGGAAGCTAGTGTGTCTCCATAGGACTGAGCCTTTCCCCTACAGGCTTCCCAGGCAGTTTCTGTCTCCTATCTCATTGGCCAGAAATGGTCTTGACTGTTCCTGAATCAGCCACTGGTAGGGGAATGGGATCACCATAGGTGACTCAGACTCTGTTCCTAGATCTGGGGTGGGACATGTCCCCTGATGCACTGATGGAGGGGCAGCTGCCTGAATAGACTGAGGGCTCCCACACAGCAAGGGAGGCGGGGACAGTGGCTGCTGTTTAGATGGCCAGTAATAGGCCTTGCTGTTCTTGTTGATTGTCCTCCACCGTGTGTGCTTTGGCAGCTCCGAGTCCTTGTTCCACAAGTGCAGTTAGCTCCAGAGTCCTCAGGACAGGACGGGGCTGAAGCACTGATCATCAGAGGCTGGGAATGGGCACCGGCCCCAGGATCTGGGTGCTCAGGCACTGCGGTTATCTAAGGAGACAGAGAGGCCATGTGCGATTAGAGGAATCCTGTCTGTGGCCTGTGTCGATGAAGCACAGGAGCCTGAGGACCTGAGGTAGAGACAGAACTTGGAGGCAGTGGTCCCTCCACACCTGGAGGAGGACAGTGGGTCCCAGCCTCAGCCCTCTGCCTCTGCATAGCTTCCCCCAAAGCTTTGTGCACAGGGTTGGCCAGAGGGCTTCCTACTTGCCGGGCCCTTTGCTGAACACAGGTCAAGTGGCTATCCCGGTAACTGAGATGGAGTACTGGGGACAGCTGGGAGCAGCAGGACTGACTGCTGGGGAGACTCTAACACCAGGGGGAGGTTGTGGTCATTCGCAGACAGTGGGAGGACCTCATGGTTTCTTTCTTTGTTTCTTACTTTTTTTTTTTTGTACTGGGGATTGAACACAGGGACACTTAATCACCCAGCCACATCCCTAGCCCTTGTTGATATTTATTCAGAGACAGGGTCTTGCTGAGTTGCTTAGGGCTTCGCTAAATTGCTGAGGCTGGCTTTGAACTCACGATCCTCCTGCCTCAGCCTCCTGAGCCGTTGGCATTATGCCACCTTGCCCAGAACCTCATGGTTTCTGAGCAGGGAAATGCTCCATGAGACAGCTCTGGGGGCCATGGGCCAGGATGGACTAGGAAGGAGACTTCAGAAGCAGTCTGGCCGTCAGGGTTGTCACTCTGAATGTGCCCCATGCTGCTGTTAAGTAACTGGCTTAAAGGGAGAGGGAGTTTGTTGCTTTGTCTAACTAGAGTTCTGAGATGGAAGGACCTTCAGGCTTGGCTTAATGATGTTATAAAGACTCAGTTTCCTTTGCATCTGAGCTCTGTTCCCCAGCTATCCACTGTATGCTAGGACTGCCTGTCCCCTCTTACGACAACAGTGCCAGAGCCCCCTGCTCCCTTTCTTTGCTCCAAGTGGGGGTTAGGGGAACTTACTCCCTGGAAACCCTCCCAGAAGACAGAGCCCCAGAAACCCCTGTGTCTCCCTGGCTGGCCCATCCTAGAGCTGATAACCCCGGTGGATGAGGTGAGTCCAGGCCATGTGCCATGGCTGGAAGGAAACAGGGAAAGTTACCAAGAAAAGGGAGAATGTAGCAGACAGAGATCCTCTTCAGGGGGCTGCTATGATCTCCGGGGGAAGGTGAGAGGACGTCAGGCTGGCAGAGGGTAGTGGGAAGGACAGAGAGGACAGGCACCAAGAGGTGGAAGAACTCAAGGGACCTGGCTTGTGGCCTTAGGAGTGCGTCAAAGGGAGCAGAGTGAGCTGCAGCTGGGGAAGGGCGAGGATGAGATTCCTTAATGGGGCGGGGAGGATGGTCCTGGTACCACAAGCAAAAATGGAGGAGTCCGGAGAAGAACGAGGTTGAGAAAAAGGTAGAGAGGTCAGGTGGCTCATATGCAAATCTGTGTCCCTGTGTACTGCCCAGGTGGAGATGCCCACCTGAAGCTGGGTGTATGAGCCTGGACTTAGAGGAGAGACCAGGGTCATAGGTATATGGGAGTCCTTGCAATGAGGTGCCAGCAGGTAGATGGCAATGCCAGAGACTGGGGAGGGAGGGACTAGAGGGAACCCCAACTTTGAGGATCTGGGAGTGAAAAATCTCTCTCTCTCCTCTGCTCCAACCAAACCTTGCTGGAGACCCCTGTCCTCCGGATAACATTCAGCTGGCCTCACCAAAACCACTTCTCCATTTTAAGCCCAGCTCCCAGCTTGTGCACCTTTCCAGAGCGTTCCCCCAGGTCCCAGGCTCTGCAGCAGAGGTACACTTGTGCAGAGTCTAGGGCCCCAGCTGTGGCTCTCAGTCCCTGGGCATCCTTCACTCCTTCCTCAACTATCTGTTGAATACCACTATGCCAGGCATGGAAATCAAGGTTTGGGAAGAGCAACTACTTCACCCAGGGTCACACAACCAGTGAGTGGCAGGATCCAGATTGGACAAAACTATCTGGCATCAGGACCCCAGCTCCGAACCAATACCTAGGGTATCTCAAGGTTGGTCCAGGCCACCTGTTTAGTCTCACCTAGGGTACTTACTAGAAATTTGTATCCCTTATTCTCAGAGATTATGATTCATCAGGTCTAGGGCTGTACTACTAAATTTCATTTTGCAAAAGCCCATTACCTGGTCCTAAAGCCTAAGAGCAGTGTCTCTATGTGCCTGTCTCCTGTGGCTCCTGGTGAGCTATATCTTACATATAAAAGAATGTCTCAAAACCTACACGTATAGTTCAAAGAGTAATGACAAAGGGAGCTCTCATGTGACATCCCCCCAAGTTAAGAAAAAGAACTTTGGCCTGGTATGGTGGCACACGTCTGTAATCCCAGCAGCTGGGGAGGCTGAGGCAGGAGGATGATGAATTCAAAGCCAGCCTCAGCAATTTAGTGAGGCCCTGAGCAACTTAGTGAGACCTTGTATCTAAATAAAATTTTTTCAAAAAGGGGGTGCTGTCTGTGGCTCAGTGGTTAAGTGCCCTGGTTAAATCCCTGGTACCAAAGTGGGAGGGAAAGAACTTTGCCAACACCTCATAGCCTGTCTGATAACCCCTGACCTACAGTGCCCCGGTCCCTGTCTTAGGCATAACTCATCTAAGACAGTAGTTGGTGACCGTCCTTTGCTTTCCTGTAATACATTCCCCCCCATACGTTCCTCTATCAACAGTATGAGTTCTGCCCCTCTGTGAACTTTGCCTGATTGGATTTGGGTTTAGGAACTCTGGCCTCTTTCGTGGCCCGCTCTTTTGGTGACATGTTCCCATGAGGCCATGTACAATGGCAGCCACCTCGTTCACATTGTTCCTGCAGCCTCCTTCAGTGTGCCCTACTCAGGGCTGGAAACAGCAGCCCAAGAAGCAGCAGGAGGGTGCTGGGGGAACCAGGATGCTGGGTGACCCATGGGGACAGGTGGCCTCCAAGGGAGTCCTGCCTCGGCCTTTGCTCCTGTCTCTGCCTGTTGCTTCTTGGTCACGGTCAGTCTGTGTCTCCGGCTCTCTGGGAACTTGATTCCCATTTTGGTGTCCCTTTTCAGAATGCCGAACTGGGGAGGAGGCAAGAAGTGCGGGGTGTGCCAGAAGACGGTCTACTTTGCCGAGGAGGTCCAGTGCGAGGGCAACAGCTTCCATAAGTCCTGCTTCCTGTGCAGTGAGTACCGCGCGCCGGGACCCGTCAGGCTGGCCTGTCTGCACCCCAGGGATCCGTCCCACAGGATGTAAATAACTTGACATTTGGCTGAAGCGCAGCTGGGGAGGGACGCCCTTAAGGGCCTCTCTGTTCCCTTCAGAAGTTGCTTTCTGAGGGGGTGACCGGCCCAGTGCTCGAGGGTGGCGGGTGTGCAGGGCGGACGGCCAAGCTGGAAAGACTTTCCACCCGGCTTCCTCCTCTCTTTCTCCCCACCACGGCCCTGTCATTTCAGAGGGAGACCTTTTAGCCCAAAGTCTCACTAGCCTTCAGACCCAAATTATCCCTGGGTGAAAAGCCACCGAGGCCTCAACCTCATGGTGAAGGTCAGTGTGGAGGAGGAACTGGGCTCTCCAGGGCACTCTTCCAGGTCAGCATTCTGTTTCTCCCACTCCCCACTCTACTCAGCCTGCGAGGAGAGGAGGAAGAAGGGGTGCGCCGTCACTGTCGTCCATTCTGAAAAATCCAGAGTGACAGTTGCTGCAGTCATGGGACTGCAGGAGTAGGAAGCCAGGCCCAAGACACCGAGAGACTGAGAGACGTCAGGCTGACCCAGGGGCCTTGGCTCTGGGATGCTCTATTGGCTGGTACCTGGGCCAGGTGATGTGTCCAGGAAGTGGTGACTTGGAGACACCTTTCCTTGGATTCCATTAAATGTTTGATTCCTGTGATCAGAGCAGAAATCTGCATTAGAAGAGGCAACTATTACACCACATGCACACACCTGTAATACCAGTGACTTGGGAGGCTAAGGAAGGAGGATCACAAATTTGAGGTCAGTTTGTGCAACTTAGCCAGACCTTGTCTTGAAATATAAAACATAAAGGGCTGGGAATGCAGCTCAGTGGTAGAGCACCCCTGGGCTCAATCCCTGGTATGGCAAGGGGGTGTAGAGGGCGGGACGAAGAGGCAACTACAGTAAAGTCTGTTTCCTTGAGGACCAGCTGAGTGGGAGGCCGTGGAGCGTCCTAGTTAAGTCCCAGGTTTCATCAGGGATAGAATCAGAATTCAGTTTCTATTATCCATGCGATGATGGACAAGTTACCCACTTTCTCTCTGGTTGAGTGTTCTCATTTGTACCTACCTCTTGGGGTCATTGAGAGAGTTGAAATAAAAGGAGCTTATAGAATGAATGAAGCACTTCAAGCAATTGTGAGGTTCAATAAACAATAGGCACGTGCATGTGTGTGTGTGTGTGCATGCACACGTACCCACTGCTCAGGGTTCCATAGCAAAATGGTGTGATAAAAGGAGAGCCGCCGGGAGTTGGAGTCCCAGCCCATCTGATAGGCCCAGGAAGTGGGGTCCTGTCCATCCTGCCCCACATGAGATCAGTTGAGAGATCCGAGCTTCCTTTGTTCTCAGGGAATTTGGGCTCCAAAGTAGGAACTAGGTAGGCCAAGGGCCACCTACCTGTTCATTGGATATAATCCAGATCTGTTGCTGGGCGGGCCAGGGCAGGGCCACACTCTCCCTGGTGGACCTGGAGTGACAGCCCCAGGGCTCACTGATGAATGGGGAGGCGACAGGCTTCAGTGGAGCCCTGCTGGCTTCCAGCCTGTGGAGGAGGAGGCCACATGCAGCAGCGTTTTGTTATCAGCAGTTCATCATTTAGCCATTTTTCAAGCTATTTTTTTCTTTCTTTTCTTTTTTCTTTCCCAGAGGGACTAAGAGAGGGCTTGGCACTGGCTGAGAAGAGGGCTCAAGCTGCTGAGGTCCCAAGGACCCTTCTCTTTGCTCTCAAATGTTGCTTAATCATTGACTAAGAGGGACCATCTGTGGCTGAGAGCTCCTGCCTGTGGTCCTGCCTGTGGAGGAGTAGCTGTTGGTCAGGCGTGGGGGGAAGTCAGGAATTCAGGGGGTGGCATAGGAAGGAAGGAGCAGGGCCTGAGGCAGGGTGTGAGGGGGTGTTGGGAATTAGAAACAGTTGCGGGAAGCCAGGCTGGGGAACAGGGCGGCTGGGGGACAGACGTTATGCAACTAGCAGCCCTAGGAACTGGTATGTGTTCCTCTGGGGCCTCTGGCCTGTGCACTTCCTGGGCCTCCAAGCTCTCAGGGGACTGTGTTGTGCTGCACGTGGCCCATCACGTCCTCTTGCTTATTCCCAGGGGCTAGAGCAACACCTGACACCTGTGGGTTCTCCACAAAGATGTGTTTAGGAATGAAAAGGGCATTGTTTCTCTTTTTCAGTCAAGCACTTTCCCAACAAGAGCACCAACTCGTCCAGGTTTTGTTTTGGTTTTTTGCTTAACATGATTTGGTGGAAGTTTAGTCAGGTCTTCCTTGAATAAGGAATATATTTGAAATCCCCCTTGACTGACTCTTTGGTGGACCTTACAAAGGAGCTGAGACCCTGACTACATCATCTGGATGGAGTGGAGGGGCAGAGGGCTGCCTGGGGTGGGGAGGGTGGTCCGCAGGGAGGAGTTCTCTTTCTTTCCTTCCTTCCATACAACACCTTTATTTTGTTTATTTACTTTTACGTGGTGCTGAGGATCGAACCTAGTGCCCTACACATCTTAGGCAAGTGCTCTACCACTGAGCCACAACCCCCCCCCGCCCCCCCCCCCCCCAACCAGTCTTATCTCTGCTTTGTGCCTTTCCTCTCTGGTCTTGGAATTCCCAGTTCAATTTAGGTCTTACAGGAAACAATTCCAGGCCAATTCCTGACTTCCCGCCCTAGAAGGGAATGTTGGAGCCTTTGGCCTGTTGTTCCCTGGCCTTCCTCAGGAGCCAAGCCCCAGGGGAGGTGGTGGGGAGGTTCCATATTTGGGTGGCCCAGAGTGCTGGAATGAGGTGGAGATCTGGAGGGCAGGACAAGAGGGTCCTTATTTAGTCTGAAGTCTCCAATCTGGAGCTGAGAGAGAGAGAGAGGTGGGGGGAGCTGGTGGAGGGCTCTGGACCCTTTAAAGGCAAGAGAGAGCAAGTTGCTGGGAGCCTTCTCAGAGGGAGGTGAGAGGCGTGGCTTGTCAGTGGTGACTTCTAGCTCCAGAGGGGGTGTTTGAGGTTGCAGTTCATTTGGGCACACTGAACTCCAAAATTTAAGAACTACTGTAAAACCAAATTAGGCTTCCAGGATGAGACCTAAAGAAATAGGGTGAAGTTGAGCCTCATGAGGGAAGTAGCTAGAAGTTAGAAGCATATGATCTCTTGAGGCCCAGACCTGCCCCTCCCCGTCTCTGTCTCCCTATGGGGCCAACTTTATGTAATGCTCATCAGAGTAGCCAACTTATATTATGCACCTATTGTGTGCAGGGTATTGTGCTAAGTGTGTCACATATAAGATCTCATTTGATTCTCACAACTACCTTTTGGGGCAGAAGTTATGTGCACTTCCAAATGAGGCTAGAAAAGCAAAGGTAGGAGCCCAAGCCACACAGCTGGAAAGGGAGAGGGCTGGGATTTGACTCCAGGCTCTCTACCTTTTTACGCTTGATAGCTTGCACAACTCACCTGTGAGATCCACCGGGATGGAGGATGTAGGAAGCTCATCCAGGTGGCCCCATTCCAATCTCTCTCACCGCAGGAGTCAGGACAGTCTTCCCAGTGCCCAGCCTCACATCTCCCTGTTATTTCTGAGACTGGAAACTTCAGTGCTGTTGTGATTAGTGTGGCCTACGTGGCATTTCAAAGCCCACCACGTTGGGCTTTTCTTCAGGGCATATCCCTTCACCTCTCCCCAGTTGTACCCCCACACCCCTCACTCCCACCAGCACGGGCAGACTGTCTCCTTGGAATTCCATGGTTGCAGGCAGGAAAACCCTGCCCTTCCTCCTTCCTTTCTTTATTCTTCTCTCCTGTTGGGCCACGTGGTCTCTGTTAAGGGCAGAGTGAAGAACTTCCCTTGGCATGGTGTGGTCTGGAGTCAGCATAGGCTGTTGCTTCTGAACTGTGGGGTGCATCATAGCCCGGGGAGTTTCAAGGGTACAGAGGACCAAGGGAGACACCCACAGATTCTTGGAGGTGGGGGACATGGCCACCTAGAGTCATACACGTAGATCCCATCCCTCTGTCCTCCAGTCATTGGCCACCCCATGCCACCCATGTCATTCCTGAAAGGTCAGGATAATTTGTATGCAAACTGTCACCAGATACAGTGGCACATGCCTGTAATCCCAGCTACTCCAGAGACTGAGGCAGGAGGATCGTGAGTTCAAAGCCAGCCTCAGCAACTCACGGAGATCCTGTCTCAAAATAAAAATATAAAAAAAGGGCTGGGGGCTGGGGTTGGGGCTCAGAGGTAGAGCACTCGTCTAGCATGTGTGAGGCCCTGGGTTTGATCCTCAGCACCACATAAAAATAATAAAATAAAGGTATTGTGTCCACCCACAACTAAAAAAAAAAATATTTAAAAAAAGAGGGGTGCTGGGAATGTGGCTCAGTGGTTAAGTACCCTTGGATTCAATCCCTGTACCAAAAAAAATAAAAAATAAAAAGACTGGGGATGAAGCTCAGTGGCAAAGCACCTCTGGGTTCAATCCAAGTATCAAAAAATAACAAAACCCCCCAAAGTGTCCAGAAAACTTCAACTGCAGAGGGCTGCACGGAGCAAGCCGCTCACTCCAGCTGTGACTCACCATTCCTGTGCTCCCCTCACAGTGGTCTGCAAGAAGAATCTGGACAGCACCACTGTGGCCGTGCATGGGGAGGAGATCTACTGCAAGTCCTGCTATGGCAAGAAGTATGGGCCAAAAGGCTACGGCTATGGGCAGGGCGCAGGCACGCTGAGCACTGACAAGGGGGAGTCCCTGGGCATCAAGCATGAGGAGTGAGTACGAGATCTTCTCCCACTTTGTCTCGAGTTTCTCTCCCTGCCCTGGTATTGGGCATGTTTTCAACCACAGTTGGTTAAACAGTGGAAGGCTCAGAGAGCCATTTATTTCAAAGGGAGTCATAGAGCAGGCTACTGGAGCTGCTGGGAACCCAGCTTGGAATGCACTAGGCCCGGGTCCTCCCTGCATGCTATATTTTTATAAGCATCAGAGCTGGGAAGGTCCCCAAGAATTCCTTAGTCCAATTTCCTCATTATATAGATGAGAAAGCCCCGGGGGTCCCCTGCAAGTGTCTGAGCCAGACCAGGGATTTGAGCAGCACACAGCCAACCAGCCTTGCTTGGCCCAGCCATATCTCTTGCTGAGGAGAAATCATGTCTTGCCTTGGAAATGCCACAGAGTGTCATGGGGTCCCTACTTTCACCCTAAAAACTCCCTGGCCTCCAAGCTGCTGGCGAACATGGCTGTTGGCAGCAGGCCTGGCTAGTTCCTCAGCTCCAAGGGGATGGGTGGAAATGATGGATGAGTTACTGCATTTCAGCCAAGATCACTGACCCAACAGGAATGACTTTTCAGCAGATTTCCTCTGGAAAGTATCTGATGATAGACCAACTGCAGAAATGAGGGGCAGAAGAGGGTGACTCTTAGCAAATGAGGTGTGAAGTGATTCCAGGGTTTTAACTGGGTGACCAAGGGAAGTTTGATGTCTCCATAAAAATAACATTGTGCTGAGCCTTGGTTTGTCCCTATGTATCATGGGAAATGACACTAGAGGCCCCCGGTGGCCCTAGCTTTTGTAACTTCTGCTGGGAGAGCTGCTCCTGCCCTGTCATGATGGGAGGGTGAGTCCTGCCCTGCAGGGCCAGCCCTGCCTGTATTTATCAGTGTGTCATATCCCTTCTTGTCCTTCTCCATGCAGAGCTCCTGGCCACAGACCTACCACCAACCCTAATGCCTCCAAGTTTGCCCAGAAGATTGGAGGCTCTGAGCGCTGTCCCCGATGCAGCCAGGCAGTCTATGCAGCGGAGAAGGTGATTGGTGCCGGGAAGGTAAGGCGACTGCTGGGCACCTTGAGAGGGGCAGGAGACAACCTTCCTGAAATAAGGATTCTAGAACTTTGCAAGTGGTGACCCTAGCTCTGCTCAGGGCAGCCTGAGCCCTGGCCTTTAAACCCCTTCCCTTTTAGGAATAACCTTTGTCCCTGTGGGTTGCTTGTCCCAGACTCCAATGAGCTCACATCATCCACGCACAGCAACATTCCCAGCATTGGTGGGTGTCTATTAATAATTTACAGGGAGTTGCAGAGATCAATCTGTACCTGGAGCTGAGGACCACAGTATCTAGGAGTACATGGCTGAATTTCAGAGGTCCTGCAAGCCCCCTAAAAGTACATGCGAAGATTTGTGGGAATGTGTCTCTGGGAAGAAGATCCATAACTGTCATCAGATTTTCAAAAGGATTTGTGATTTTCAAAGTGTCAGAAACCACCCAAAGACCAAACCCAGAAGAGCTGGAGATGGGCTGTAGGCCCAGCTGGTCTGTCAACATACTGTGTGATCTTGGCCAAAGTTGGGCGCTGTGGTGCATGCTTGTAAATCCCAGGCTTGGGAGGCTGAGGCAGGAGGGTCACGAGTTCAAAGCCAGCCTCAGCAACTTAGTGAGGCCCTAAGAAACTCATTGAGATCCTATCTCTAAATTAAAAAAAAAAAGAAAGGAAAAAATACAAAAGAACCATCCAAAAGTTTATGTTCTGTTTCATGGGTATGTACTCCCAGAAACCCACCCATATACCCCCAGGGTGGAGATTTTTCAAGGTTCAGATCCTATCAGAATCTCCTGGGAAGCTGTTTGTAATTGCTTGCCCTTCCTCCATGAGATTCTAACTGTAGCCCCCAGCCACAGTGCATAGTAGGAATCTCCTTAGGGGCCTACTGTTCAAACTTTGCTGATCTTATCCCTCACTCTGGCTGTAGTGGGCAAGGGGAATTCATGCCCTGGGGATAGGCAGTCTAGACTAATAGTCGGAAAACCACAGACAAGGAATCTCTAAACTGTGTGGCCAGAGTGGATTTCTGGATTGTCACATGAAGCCTGGGAGGAGTGACTTGGCCAAGATCACACAGCATGCTGATGGACCAGCTGGGCCTACAGCCCACCTCCAGCTCTTCTGGGTTTGGTCTTGGTTTCACGGCCTTTTGACTTTGAGTAAGGGGGCCAAGAGGAAGGGACTGGGGAACTAACACTTATGCCAAGTCTAGACCGTAGCAGGCTCTCAACCCTCACAATTACCATTGAAGATGGAAATTATTATTCCTATCTTTAAAAGAAAAGGGTACAGCGTAGTGCCTGGAATGTTGCTCAATACAGGTCAGCTATTATTATTATTTACGTTTTGCGATTGTTATGAAGTCAAAATGAAGATTCCTGCATTGATTAAAAGATATGAAAACAGGAGACATTACTTTTACTTTTAAGTTGGATTTTTCTTGTTTCGTCCCACTATGAGAATGGAAACTTATCAAAAAATCCTTAAAATGCTGGGCCTGGTGGTGCATGCCTGTAATCCCAGCAGCTTGGGAGGCTGAGGCAGGAGGATTGCAAGTTTGAAGCCAACCTCAGCAACAGTGGGGCGATAAGCAACTCAGTGAGACCTTGTATCTAAATAAAATACAAAATAGGGCTGAGAATGTGGCTCAGTGGTCCAGTGCCCCTGAGTTCAATTCCTGGTACCCCCACCTCCCCCCAAAAAAGTACCTAAGAGCCAAGCACAGGCACAGTGGCTCATGCCTGTGGTCCCAGCAGCTTGGGAGGCTGAGGCAGAAGAATTGCAAGTTCAAAGCTAGCCTCAGCAGCTCAGCATGGCCTTAAGAAACTCAGTGAGACCCTATCTCTATAAAACATTAAAAGAGCTGGAGATGTGGCTCAGTGGTTAAGTGCCTCTGGGTTCAATCCCTGTACAAAAAGAAAAAAAAAAAAAACCTATGAATTAATATTCCTGTCACTTAGATTCTAAGGAAAGTTAAAGTTGTACTAAGCCGTAGGATAAAAGATTTTTGCATTCAAGAGGAACAGGCAGGGATAAACCCCCTCTTTTCTTTGCCTGGATGAGGAAAGAAATATCAAGGAGCAGGAGTACTTTCAGGTGTGGTATGAATGAACAAATAGATTGAGCTTAGTTTTGGGGGGTGGTTGGAACATGGGAGGGTGACGGAGGCTAGGTGCCATCCAGTCTCCTCCAGCTGGGAAGCTGAGGCAGGCCTCTGCCTTACAGAGGAGGAAACAAAGGCTGGGGACTGTTGAGGTTGCAGAGGGCCCCAAGGGGAGGACGGAGACCTATGTCCCCCCACTTCAGCTCCTTGAACCCCACTGCAGTCCCAGGAGGTAGGAGTGAGTGAGGTTCAGCAGCCAGGAAGTCTGAGAGGACATCTTCCTTTTTCACCCTCCAGTCTGGGCACCGAGTGGCTGTGCTGCGGAAGTCTCTGCCCTTAAAAGGCATTGTTCTCTCCTGTCTGGCTGCCACCAGCCCCTTGCTTTTCCTGGGTTTAGCAGAGCTGTCCACACATCAGCCTCTGAGGCTGCTCAGCTGTTGCTAATGGGAGCCGGCTGCCGCCCAGGAGTCTGGCTGTGTGGGGCAGGGGTGGTTGCTGTGCACAGACGGAGGCCCTGCCCCTTCCCTGGGAGGTTGTTTGCCCTGTACTACCTTAGGACACCTCTCAGAACCACAAAGGGCCTTCTGTGGCCCCTGGAGAAACTGCATTCCTCTGGCTTGTTCCTGCTCCATGGAATGCATTTCACAGACCCATTCTCCTTTCAAAGTAATACAGACAGCCCTGGCCTGGGATCTGCTGTGTTCCAGCCTCTGTCAGGCTCTGGACACTGATGAAGTTATTTAGTGCTGACAGCTGTCTGATGAGGGAGAGTCCATGCCATTTTCCAGGAGGAAAAATTGCCTTTGGACAAATGAGGCAATGAGTTCTAGAATTTTCGAGGCAGGGTAATGCCTGCTCTGTGGCTAGACACTGGATGTTTAAATATCAAGTCCTCACATCCATTCTGTGATAGGCAGGGAGGTCTCCAGAGGAGGACATTCGGGAGGCTGTTCAACTAGTGGCTGTTCCAAGAGGCATCTGGAGCCTTTGCTCACACCACTGATCTGCAGGCGGAATGGATGTGGACAAAGGTTGTTTGACCCCACCTCTGGGGGCAGCAGCTACCCGGCTGAAAATTTTACCCCTTCACCCCCCTTTTGTGGTGTAGATGGTGCCACTAACCACAGAATCATTGTGATACTTTATTGCAACACACTATTGAAGGCGCCATGAGGTGATGTGTTGGAAAGCTCCCACCTGCTGTCTGACAGCAGCCCTAGCCTAGCAGGCGACAGGAAGGTGCCTTTCACCGTCTTGTGTGAAGGGGATGGGCTGGGGCTAGGGCAGCCAAGTCACTGGTGGCAGCATTAACAATTTTCTTCTTTACCTAGTCTTGGCATAAGTCCTGCTTCCGATGTGCCAAGTGTGGCAAAGGGCTGGAGTCAACCACCCTGGCCGACAAGGATGGTGAGATATACTGCAAAGGTGGGTAGTTTCATTTCCAGTTGAGTAGCGGGAGGCCTGAGGAGTGGGGAGACCCTGCAGTTATGCTATTGCTGAGTGTGAACTAACTCCTGGCCTTGAAATCCAAAAGTCAGAGCATCAGAGGGGGAAACAACCCGAGGGAGACAGTAGAGAAAGCGACTTGGCCAGAGTCAGGTGGAATATTAAGGCAAGGACAGGCCTACAGCCTGGGACCCTCACTCCCCGCCCAGGGCTCCAAGCAGATAATGCTCCCTTTCTCCTTTAAATGGTAAGGGAAATGGGTATAGAGTGGTGTCTAGAACCTCCTCATGTTGAGATTGGAGGTACAGTAAAGGTGAAGGGCACTGATGGACTTTCTTTTTGCAGAGGTCAGTCCCCAGGGGTGGCAGGAGGGTCTGCTTGGGGGAAGGAGCATGTCCTCATCCTTCTTCTTTCTCTGCAGGATGCTATGCTAAAAACTTCGGGCCCAAGGGCTTTGGCTTTGGACAAGGAGCTGGGGCCTTGGTCCACTCCGAGTGAGGCCACCACTGCCTGCCACACCCTGCCCACTCCTGAGCTTCTCATTGCCATCCCCTTCCCAGCAGCCTTGGGGACCTCCAGGATTCTTTCTCACCCAGCCTAGCCGCACATCACTAATGACTTGAACTTGGGCCTCTGGCTCCCTTTGGTTGGGGGTCTTGCCTGAGCTCCCGCCCCACTAAGGAGCTACCCCTGCCTGGCATCTCACACCATCACCAGTAGGAGATGTCTGTCTTTATAGTCTGTGTGGGACCAGACCCTGTCTCCCTACACCTCTCTCCACAGACCTGTTCTTAACCTCTTAGGCTGAGCGTCCATCCTCACTGGCCAAGACACCTGGGCCACGTGTTGGTGCCCTAAGCAGCAGCAACAGGCCAGGAGGGAGAGGGAAACAGGACCAAGATGGAGAGGGAAAAGGCTGTGGTTTATTGGACTCAGAGATTCTCTTTGGGAAAGAGGGTGGGCTTCTTGGTGTTTCTCAGAATAAGTCTGAGGAGTCCCAGCTCAGGGAGTCACTACGGGGAGGCAAAGAGGCATGCAGGCAGGGTCATGGCCACAAAAAGGAACGACTCAGTTCTCTAGGCCTCTTGCCTGTGAGTCTCTGTGGAACTGGAGTCCTCCCACCTGGGACTGGAGGGTAACAACCTAGATCCAAGGACCCCAAAGTCAGAACACCTTAGGCTTCTAGTTCCCTGTTCCATGTGGGGCGGGGGGTTCCTAGAGAAACACTTCCAACACACATTCGCAGGAGCCAGTGGTCCAAATATCGGGGCAGCTAGATCTGGCCCTATTCATGGATCCTAAGGATGCAGTGGGCAGCTCCTCCCCATCCCAGCACAGCACAGGCTAGCCCTTTGCTGTCACCAGGCCTGGTTGTTCATCTGATTGAAGGGAGGCAGACACATCCTCAGCCTGTATCCAACACCCTGTCCTTCTGTTTCCAGGCCTCAGGGCCTCCCCCAACCCAAGACCTGCCCCTCCCACACCACCCTTCTCCAGGGATTCTTCTCTGGCCACATCACCCATCCCTTCCAGGACCCCAGGTCAGGAACAGCAGAAAGAAGGGGGAGGGGCCGGACCCTGCTGCTCCCAGTGACTGAAAGGACGACACTGTCTGCAGCACAGGCTGTATTCAAGCTGATTTCTTATCTGGTTAATAAAGCTGTTTAGAACAAAACTCTGGTGTCCCGATCCTGTGACTGTGTCTGTGCACCACACTCTGGGAACTAGGAGGGAACTGTATTGGAGCCATCACAATTAGCAGGAGGCTTGTGGGAATGAATCAAAGACCATTCCTTCCTGCTTTTTCTAAGAAAAACTTGCTTTTTCACTATTAGTTCTAACAGAACCATACTACGTGGAGTAACACAATCAACAGGGTGTCACCGCCTTGTGCCATTTGGCCTCCACTGCCACATCTGGGTATAGGAACTGCATGAAGTTGGGCATTAGAGAGGCCCAGCTAGGTCCCCAAAGTGTGCCCAGAACATCCCTCCAGTTGGTAAGCTCCAATGTGAGAGAACTCAGCCAGAGGTAACTTCGTGTCAAAGCTCGAAAGTTTACTTCTGTAAATTTGCACTGTTCAGGTCCCCACAGCCACTTCCCACGCAAGGCCAGACTCTTTGGAAATAGGCTTCTCTGGAGGGTTGTAATGTTCTCCTGTTTTACAGATAACTATGTGATGCTTTTCTGCTGGATTTTTTACTTCAGCCCTTTTGGGAAATGTGTCCACACTGAATTTTCAAAACCAAAAGCAGACGCTTTAACAAGGCCTCCTCTGCTTAGTATTCAGATGACCCATCCAACAGTGGCCTAGAAAACCCTCAGCACCCAGAAGGGGACCTATATTTGTATAGGATCCATCGATGTGCAGTAGTGGGAAAGGCAAGGCTCCAGGTGAAAGTGCCAGAGATCAGAGGAGATGGCTGGTCGTGTGGGCACTGACAGTTAGCTCCCCAGTAGGATCAAGGTCTCCCTCACCTTGGTAGCCCCTCTATCCAGCACAGGGTATGTCCTCCGGGGAGATGCTGGGGGAGGTTTATGTAGGGAAGAGAATGGATGGTTCCACAAATACAAGTAGGTCCTCCTGTTTGGGGAGCGACCCACGAAACGGCTAGGAGGGAGCCTTTGGGGCCCAAAGCCGGAGACAGGCTGCCCTCTGCCGGCCGCGCGGGCGCTCCTCCCTGCACCCCAGCACTGCACCGAGCTCCCGGCCCTGCTACTAGGGTCTTCCCGCTGCGGGATCACAAGTCGTCCTGGGCAAGCCGCGCCAAAGAAAGAGCCGCGGTCGGCACACACTTCTTGGGAAATAAAAGCAGGGGGCTGCGAGACAGGCGGGGAAACGCCCACAGGACAGGGCGGGAGGCGCCCGGAGACGGGTGCGCCCTCGCGGAGAGGGCCTGGAATCGCAGGCACCGTGCTAGGAGACACAAGGTGGTGCTGTGAGGTCAGGGCAAAAGGCAGGAGCGCCCCTTCTGCGCCGCCATACCCTCTTCCTCTCTCCGCGGGTCCCTAGGACCCTTGCTCCTGCGACACAGCTTACGCCTGTAACCCCCATGCTAGCTTCTCCCTGGGCGGATTTGTGCGCTAAAAGCGCCAGGTGGTGCCCCAACCCGTGGGATTGACCAAGGAAGAGGGTGAGCAAGGATCTTTATGTCCATTCAGGTATTTCCTTTCCGCTTTCTGCGCTTTGAGCAGAGTCCGTCTGGGGCGCCCCCAGGTGAATGCATGGTGGGAGCCCAGCACAGAAGTGGCCCTGGGCTTTTAGGGTGTGGTGAGAAAGAGTGGCTCCTCCTGATACCAGGCAGGCTCAGCCAGCCACTTCCTCTGAGACCCTTAGCAATCTCTTTGGGTCACTGAGAGGCTGAGGAGGGACAAGGATCGCAGACAGAGCCAGACTGCAGGGTAAAGACAGAGTTGAAGGAAGGGTGGGGATAGATCTGTTATTAGATGTATGGGTGATCCCCGAATCTAGCGCCTAGCAACTTTTTTGGGAGGGGCAGAAACCCAGGAAGGCCAGGTCCCTAGATTTGCTTTCAGTGAAGGTGGCGGTGGTCAGCTGATCAGGGAGGAACTTTCCAGATCAATGCTGTATGGTTCTGGCTCCCTCTCACTCATCCCCTGGCCCAGCCTTCAAACCCACCCCCTTAATATGAGGATCATTGAGGGAGAGGCTTTTAAAATGGATTCTCAGCCCTACGCCTAGAGATTCTGATCAGGTTGGCCTGGGTGGTGACTGGGAATCTGTATTTGAAAAGCTCCTCAGGTGATTCTGATACTCAAGACCAGTCAGGCCTGGGGTTATATGGACTAGCCCTGCTCCACAGCCTGGGAGACCTTCACCATATAACTGGGGCCTCCTAGGGCAACCCTGAGCTGCTCATCTTAGTGCCCCACTGGAGGTGCCTCTGAACGCTTTTCAATGATTTGAGAAGACTTCCTGGAACTTCCTTGTTATGGTGTGACTATGAGGCATCCCCCCAAAGCTTCCGTCTTAATGCAAGAATGTTCAGAGATGAAATAATGAGATTATGAGAACTATAACCTAATAAGTCCACCCTAGTTTGAATGGACTAACTGTAATTGTAGGAAGGTGGGGCCTGGCTTGAGTAGGTGGGTCGGTGGGTTGTGCCCTGGAAGGGCTCATCTTCCCTCTGACCCCTTCCCCTTTCTTTCTCTGTTTCTCTCCACTGCGCTCTTGGGCACCGAGCAATGGAGTTGGCCAACCATAGACTGAACCTCTGAATCAAAGTAAACTTTTTGTCCTCTAACTTGTTCTTTTCAGGTATTTTGGTATTGAAAGCCTAATTAACACATTCCTGTTTCTGTCCCTTAGAGGCATCCAGAATAGGTGCAATTCCTTTCCTTTGTGATGGTCCTTCAGAGACTGGCAGACAGCTCCCCTCCTGCTTGAGTCTGCCCCTCTTCGGCACCAACATTCCCTGGCCTTTCAGTGGTTCCTCATCAGCTGAGGAAGAAAGAGGGGACTTGGGGTGCTGTGGATGTAGCTCAGGGGTATAGCACTTGTCTTTCAGGCATGAGTTCCTGGGTTCCATCCCCAGCATTAAAGGAAAGAAAAGAAAGCAGGGAGTAGGTCCTGGGGACTTGTAATACCTAGACCCAGCAAAGCAGAAGCAGCTTCCCCTGGGAAAGACCTGCCTGGGCCACTAGTCCCCCATCCTTGCCTCCTTCATTTGGAAATTTTGGAAACGTTAGACCATCATCTCATGGGTTTACTCTGCCACACTGTTCAAAGGCCTGAAATAATTTAATTCATTTGATCCTCACACTAATCCTATGGGGCAGGTTTAATCAAAGTAAAACAGGAACCAAAGAATAATTCAGAAACTAGCTTGAGGTCCAGTGGCAGAGCAGGATGTGCACGTAGGCAGCTGGGTCAGGTCTTGTCCTTGTACTGCGGTATACCTGACCCTGAAAGAAACTGGGAGGGAGGGGAGGGGAGGCCTTAGTACAGTGAGCTAGGGCCATAGTACTAGCTAATGTTTATTAAGCACATACTCTAATTGCTGTCTTATTTGAAGCCCACGTAAGCACTAGGAGGTGGTTTTGGCACACTTTAACACCAAAGAGGGAACTGAGAATCAGTGAATATTTAAGTGACTTACTCAAAGCCACTGGCAAGTGGTTGAGTCAGGATTGGAACCAGCTGTGTGACTTTGGGCCGGCCTCCTCTCCTCTGGGTGTCAGCTCCTCCTTTGTGAAATGAAAATGCTGGCCTCAGTGCGTTCTAGGGAAGTGCTCCTCAAATTGCAATGTGCCCACACATCTCTTGAGGATCTTGTAAAATGTAGATTCTAATTCAGTAGTTTGGGGTGGGGCCTGAGACTGGCTGTGTCTCAGGAGCTCCCAGGGGACGGTGTGCTGATGCCTCGATACTGGGACCACACTGGAGCAGCCAGGCTCCTGGGGACACGCCCGACTCTGATGTTCTGAGTTTATGGGCCTAGGACGACTCACCCCAAAGGCCATGAAAATTCAGGAAGCCAATTATGGCCAATGCTGCCCTCAGTGTGCCTTTTCCAGGTGCACACAAGACCTTGGTGGTTTTCTGAAGTATTTGCCCCTGAGCCTTCCTACCCTGCTGCAGCCTGACCTCCCCAGAGGGCTCAAGGACTTGGTCCCGGTCTGGGCCACGGGGTGGGGTGGGGGGATATTTCTCCCTATAAGAGGAGTGAAGAGGAGTCCCTATGGTCTTGTCTCCTGGGGCACCTACAGTCCCATGGTAGCCACACTGTCTGCTCCTTTAGGGCTGTTCTCGGATATCCACTATCTTCTGGGCACATGGTTAGGTTACATTTCTCCTCTTCCCTGGCAGTAGGACATACATACCATGTGGCTTGCTCTGGTGTCTAAATTGAGATCAAAGCAATTTATGTCTCATCGGTACAGAACCCTTTAAGAGCCACCAGGTAAATCTTTACTTCCCTTTCTGCCTTGCAGACAGGGTGGGACCTTCATCAGCCTGAATCTGTGACGCAATGAGCAGAATCTCCCAGACAGCCTGAGCTGGGAATGTGAGACAGTGGTGTGGCCTTCGCTGGGCTAAGCTGTTGGGTCTAGGGGAGTTCATTAGTAGAGCATAACCTAGCCCGTGCTAATAAGCATACCAGCATCAACCATGACACGGGGATGTTATTTTAGATAGACAGTCCAGTCCTGGGAGACCATATTTCTGTAAAGTCAGGATTGTGGGCTGTCAAAGCTCTAAATCTTACTTCTGTGACCCTCTTCAGTAGGCGGGAGTGTTTTGTGCCCTGTTTTACCAGTTTCCATGAAGAGAACTCTTATTCACCCATTCACCTAGACTTTAGTCCAGAGCCTGGCTCACAGAACACTTAATGCACACGTGCTACGAAGTTCCTATCTGTGGATCACATCTTTGTCCATCATATCCACGAATGTGCTGTGAGCCTGCTCTCTTCTCCACCTTGAGCCACCTGTTAAATTCCTCCTTGTCCTTGGTCTCAGGATGGACAACTCACAGCCTCCTTCTCTGCTGATCTTGGCAATGATACTGCATAGGAATTTCCTTACTATCAAAGTAACATTCATGAAAATTCATAATTCTCACTAGAAACATTTGAACCTCAGAGGCAGGAAGAATATTCATAATCACCTGTTGTTGACACCGACACTGTTCTCCTTTCTTTCATTTCT